TAGATATAAAAGAAAATACTGCATGTTATTCACAAAAGTATAAGGCCAAGATTAATATTAATTAAAACTAACTTGGTAGTGGCATATATAATAGAATACTTTAGATACATAGTACTCTAATGACTTGACCTAATATGAATGAGTAATGATATTAAAAGACTGCTTAACGTCATCAAAGTGCTCTGTCTGTATAGTGCAAAATTATTTTGACAAAATATTGTGTTACAAATATTACATGTCATAAAATTTGCAATATTATGCAACTGTATTGTCAAAAACAGTTGCATAATTTTATCATGCATATTTAGCAGATAGTGTAATCTTTTCTTTGTTGCACAGTATATTGAACACCAATCCTCTCCAAGATATTGGAGAGGATTAATATTAAGAATGGTTAAGGTTAGGTCATCAGTGTCCAAAGTGACTTTACTATGTGGTGGGTATCTGAATTATGCTCTGCTATTTTCTGGCACATGCCTTCCCCTTGCCCTTTACAAGTATTGTACTGTAATTAATTATGGTGATCGGGACCTGAATCAGAGTTGCAGACTCGAGTCCTACATGTTACAAGTTGTATTATATTGAGAATTGGATGCATTAATTTTAGGAATAATGTGTGTCCTTATGCATAGTGAGAATCACTTTAAAAGTTATATATTTAAAATTTATTTTCCTCTATATCAACAGTATATTTTAGTGTGTTAATAATACATTTTTTTTCTTCATGATATATGGCCGAGGTTTTATTAATAATGTTAATAGTGCTTATAATTCTTCACATGCATAGTCACCATTTGCAATATTAGCTTTGTCTGGCATCATATAAATCACCCCCATGTAATGTGTGATAAAATAACTTGCTCTCATTATGCTGTGATGAGGTTCAGCTGTAAATGTATTCTTAATAATCAATTTTTTGCAAACCTCAGATAATAATTACTGTATTGTTACTGTGAAGCCAAAACACTAAACAAAACTAACAAAACTTAAAAAAAGCCGCAATATGTAAAATTGATAGAAGGAATATTTTACTGTTCAAGAATGTTCACCTGTGTATTAAAACCAAAAAGACTGATTTAGTCATAAATGCTTTTGTAAAAACTGCTTAATGGGCAAATAAGTTGATGGTGAAGCTGAGAGGGTGTGGTGAGCAGTACGGGTCAAGGAGCATTTAAAATAATTAATGGTGTCACTGCAGGTAAATGAGGAAGGAACCAGCCTCAGTTTCTCAGGATGATGTGTGAATCTCATTGCCAAGAGCATAAAATGGTAATAAATAATAGTTCCACCATAAAACTTAGGTGTAGTTTTCAGTGTAATGGAAATGAAATCAGAATAAGTCTTATTCTTAATTACAGTTAAACAACAAAAAGAGAGTTGCTACCTAATGGTGTGTATTATTTCTTGATGTGAGTAATTATAAGGGTAAGGCAATCGTGATTAAACAGTAGTCACTGTGTGACCGCTGGGGGTAATGGATCTCACTGTAAACACCACAGGAATAAGACGTAAGTGCCAAGTTGTAGACATAAAATGAATTATGAGTGAAATATATTTGACCTGTTGGACATAAAATTACTCCCAAATGCTAATTTGTATTGTGTTCCAAATTAAAAAGAAAATGTTGGTGTTTAGTAGTAAACCATCACTTTATAGTTCTGTTAAATTCATAAATCAGAATATGATGTTATGACTGCTGTCATACCTGTCACTGACGATTTCACTCGAGTTCCCGTATAACAAATTTTTCAATTACAGTAGTAATTTAAGCTGTATTTTGTTTTTGCCCCAGATGTAACTGATTAAATATGCTTCATTTATATGCTTAGCTCAAGCTGTAAATAGTTTTTGGTTCACAATTTGAATGTAAAGAAATTAAATCGTGTGTTCTAACAGCCTGTACAGACACCACTGGTCTCCAACACCATGTGCTTTACTGGCAGAGAGCTGCTTCACATCTTCCAATTGCATAGCTTGCAGTTTGCTCTCCCAAGGCACTTCATATGTCTTTTCACAAGATAGAGGGATAATGAATTTTCTTATGAGAGCATAGCCCATGCTCTTGGATAAGAAAGGCTAGGGCTGACAACTGGGACATTTTTAAGCATTTTTCTAAATGTATCTGGGCTTTAAATTTGTAAATGAATAAAGACTAGCTTCATTTGTATTCAATAAACACATTTTAAGCATAAAGTACAATCTGTATATTTTTGGTATTTATGGTAATTCTTTAGTGAACTAAACAGAAAGAAATTAATCATTATCATTTTAAAATTTACTGCATTGACAAATTATTTTGTTTATGAATTTAATGACTTATGAAAGATATATACCATAATAATTTGTACATTGGGAGCTTTTTATGATGTTGCAAGTACGGGTACTGTAATTAGAATTTATGTAACCCACTTAATTGTTATTTGGTTCAATATCCAATGTTGAATTTATAAACCATTTAGGTTAAATAAATAATATTAACATTGAGTGCTTTCAGAAAGTTACAGCATTGCATTCTCATACAGATACTGTATAATGATAGCTAATAATGATTCACATCTAGGAGCTTTTAATTTTTTTGTCAATTCAGCAGGAATTCATATAAGCTCATCTGCCTTGGCACGCTTACATAAAAATAATATAGTCAGCTGAAACTTCTTGACAAAGATTTCTCGTATTGTTTTGTTGAATCTTCTCAACTGGAGCAGTATGTAGACCTGTGTGCAATAGATTAATCAGTAATTTTTTGATGTTAAAAATATACGAATGTTACTATGTCTTGGTTTTCTTTATACTTTTCTGGGCAATTATGGCTATTTACCCCTGGCAGATTCAGTTAAGAATCACAGGATAGTATTAACAGTGATTAATGGTTAAACAATACAATAATTTGTTGTAAAATAGTAGATGTACTCCAAGTGTTTTTTGTTTTTGTTTTTTAATATGGAAGAGTAATATATATAGGTAGAGTACAGTATATTAAAATTTTGCCATGCATAAGTTATACATGAGATTTAGTAACAGTACCAGGGCTGAAAGATTGAAATGTCTATCGAGTACATAAACACATAAGAAGTAAAACAGACAAAAGACTTGGTTAGATTAGACCAATCAAGTTATAATTGATGATAATTCAGTGCTGGCTGTCTTTTTTAATACTTTAAATAAGTGTTCGTACTAGAAAGATTAGATGGTATACCAGAATGCCCACAATATTTTTTTTTCCTTGAAGCTGGGAGATGAGAATGAATTAAGGGATATTCCCAATAACCACACAAATGTTTGAAGCAGGGAGAATGAATTAAAGTATATTCCCATAACGTCTGAAACAATCAGGAAAAGCATTAATAAAGTAAAGGACTCAAAACCCATAAACGAACTGTGTCTACCACTGAAATTTTTATTTATAAAACACTTTGAACCAAGGTAAAGTTCCCCTAGAATAGAAATATGAAAATGCCCCCCTATCTTTAGAAAAATACACAAAGAACTCGGCAGAAAAGTACTGTACTGACCTATCAGCCTAACCCCCACACATCTGCAAGCTCATGGAGAGAATCCTAGATTGTGCACAGTGCACAATCTAGTAAAATCAATACGACATGGTGCTGTTAAAAATAAATCCTGCCCTACAAACCTGCTCACCTTTTTAAAAATAGTAACCAGTTATTCCAATAAAGGACTTCCAATAGATGTAATATATGTGACTTCTCTAAAGCTTTTGATAAGTTACCTAATGAAAGACCGACAGGGGAAACTACAAGGACATGGAATAAGTGGCAAAGTACTAGAATGGATAAAACAATAATTAAAATCAAGAAAGCAAGGGAAGGTCATCCTAAATGGAAATGAATCTGACTGGAGGAATGTGGCAAGTGGGGTATTGCAAAGTTTCATCTTTAGGTAAACCCTTTTTGTCATACACATCAATGACAAATGAGAATATTACAAACCACATCATAAAATTTGCAGATGACACTTAAGATATATGGTAAAGCAGGAAGCAAAAATTCATACTGAGGCCTTGCAAAGAACATGAACATGTATATATGTATGTACTCACCTAGTTGTACTTACCTAGTTGTGCTTGCGGCGGGGGGTGGGGGGGGGGTGAGCTCTACAAATGGTTGCAAGACTGGCAAATGCTTTTTAACAGAGCTGTCTTACCGCATATGGGCTAGCCTGGAGGCATACCTGTGAACCTATTCTAACTTCGTTTTGTGTTTGACTAAATGTGGACTAGATATGTATGTATGTATATATGTATGTATGTATGTATGTATGTATGTATGTATGTATGTATGTAATGTATGTAATGTATGTAATGTATGTAATGTATGCATGTAATGTAAGTAATGTATGTATGTACGTATGTATGTATTTACTATTTGTATCTGCAAAATCGAGTTATAAACTCTTGGATCCCGCCTTTCTAACCAATTTATTTTTCCTGTATTATGTCTATGTATGTATGTGTGTATGTATGTATGTAAGTATGCATTCACCTAGTTGTGCTTGCGGGGGTTGAGCTTTGGCTCTTTGGTCCCGCCTCTCAACTGGTTATGTATGTATGTATATGTATATGTATATGTATATATATATATATATATATATATATATATATATATATATATATATATATATATATATATATATATACATATATATATATATATATATATATATATATATATATATATATATATATATATATATATATATATATATATATATATATATACTCCCTTTTCTAGTGTCAATTAAATGCCGTTAATGCCAAAATTCTGTTAACTTTTAAACTACAGCTGGAAAAGATTATCAAGGCAAATGGGAGGAAGGAGGGGGGACATTCGACAAGCCGCCGGCTTCCTGTCCTCCTCCTAGTGTTAGCGGCTCTCAGGTAAATCCAGGTAAACTGATTGTGACAGCAGCCAGAGTGTTTACATTCCCCCCCCCCCCGGCCGATGCGATTCACAATCTCTCAGGAAATAAGGAAACAGCTGAGAGACACATTATATTGGGGTGTAAAATATATAAGAGAGCAGGAGGACATTATTCAGTTCTAGTTAAAAGATTTTTAAGGGAATAATTGTGGCTTATTTGGTTGTGGGCAGAATATTATATTTGTCCAAACTCGAACGGGAAGATCTGTTGCGTCGACAAAGATGGCTTCTGCTAGTGTAGTTTTGCGCAATTTACCCGTGATAAAACAGTCACTGATAGCGATAATAGGCAACACGGGGTTGTTTGTGAAGTTTGTGTGCGTGTTGCTCATCATAGGTTATGGCCTGTCGTTCTCAGAGAGCGCGGTGACGGTGCTGAGTGTGACCCCAGGCTACCTCCTGCCCCCGACCTTTTGGCTCTGGACCGCCTTCACCCACTGCTTCCTCGAGGTGCGGCTCTGGCAGGTCTGCGCCGACCTCGTGACTCTGGGGCTCTGTGGCAAGTTGATTGAGCCCCTCTGGGGCAGCTTCGAGATGGTCCTCTTCTTCCTCCTGGTCAATGTTTGTGTTGCCTTTATCTCTGCACTCTTTTACCTCATCATCTACATGTGCACGTTTAACCCGGAGGTGCTCTTCAGCGTGCAGATCAATGGCATGGCCGGCTACGTCGCGGGCCTGTCGGTCGCGGTCAAGCAGATAATGCCCGACCACGTCCTCCTCCACACGCGCACTCCGCTCGGCAAGATCTCCAATCGTCACGTGCCCCTCTGCTTATTCCTGACGGCACTGCTGCTCTATCTGTGTAACCTGCTCGAGGGTCTCTATACCACCATGATCGGCTGCGGAATTGCGGTGTCGTGGGTGTATCTGCGGTTTTATCAAATTCATTCCAATGGCACGCGGGGAGACATGGCCGAGACGTTTGCATTTTCCTGGTAAATATTTTCAGTTTTGTGCAGTTTACGAGACAAAAGTCGCTCTCTAAAAGTTTGCTCGTCCTGGACGGAACATTGCCACAGATAATAAGAATGTTGTTCTAGCATTTATTACATACAATGGACCAATTACAGTACTGTATTAATATTATAAAGTTAATTGTTGAAAATTTTGTTAATGTAATTTTCTTTTGCACAACTTCTGTATTTAAGTCTAGTTTAGGTTCGCAGTTGTTTCTATTAATATTGAAATTTATAATTTTTCTCTTAATTCTAGGGTATGTCAATATGTGGTATTTTAACTAATGAAATTTAAAATGAATTTGATTATGTTAACCTTCTTATTCAACAAACTAAACCAACCCAACCAGATCTAACTTGTACAAACAGAAACTCACTTTGCCACTGATATTAATTTTAAATACAAAATATTACCTAAATGAAGTGTATAAAAGTACAGGTACTGATGTAGGCCTTTAAAAACAAACTTTATATTAGTGAAGTCTATTATTTCTATATTAAGGCTATATTAATGCAGTGTACAGGTATAAGGTTGGGTTAGGTAGTGTTTTGTTAGGCTAGTTAGGTTACTTTAAGTTTGGTTAGGTTGAGCTAAATACAGATGTTGACCAGACCACACACTAGAAATTGAAGGAACGACGACGTTTCGGTCCGTCCTGGACCATTCTCAAGTCAAGTCGAAACGTCATCGTCCCTTCAATTTCTAGTGTGTGGTCTGGTCAACATACTTCAGCCACGTTATTGTGACTCATCGCCTGCATATAAATACAGATGTGTGTGGGGCAGACTCGATACTGATATTTTTTGCTCTGAAAATGGAAAATATACTTTCTATATCTAGTAAAATGAGTTTCTGTGTTTGCTATGAACACTGCAATCTATCACGTACTTGGAGCATACCTAAAAAGGATTTCGGGAGTTCTGCAACGCCCCAAGCCTGGCCTGAGGCCAGAATCGACCGATATTTATAAAAATTTATTTAGTTTCTCATTGTTGCCTTTTAAAGTAAGGTTTATATGTTATCAAATACACTAAGGGCATTTAAATTGTGCGTAATTAAATAATTATCCAAAGAAAATTCTTAGCAATACTGCTTTACTTTTTTGTATTTTGAAGAATTTTGTTTGATGTAGTTTTAGATATTTTTTGTTTTTGTTTTTGTCCAGTTATGGTAAGCTAGCTAGTTACCAACATGTTGGGGATTATTGCATCTCTTGTCTGGTGCAAATGTGACCTGTTTTTGTTCCTGTTTAATTTAGTTTCTTTTGAATATCCAGCAACACTGACAATGTCTTCCCGGTTTGATTCCTTTTTGATAATTACTTACTTTGTATTTCTTCATCCCATCCCATACTCGTATAGTTTTTGTCTGCTCCCATTATACATTTCAAAGGTGGAAAGGATGTTTATTCCATGCAACTGCTTTTACAGTGGATTAACAGTTGAGTTTGTTGAAATGAAAGGGAGTATAAGTCTTGGTCTTAATCTGAGGCAGTGCTGATCATTTACTCTCTAATTCTATTGTATTGGTAATTGTTTGAGGTTGCAATGTTATTAGACTTTGTCAAAAGTGAGAATTTAATGGTGTTGGGGAAGTTACTCAGTTGGAGATGAGCTTATAATGACTTGTGCAATCATGTCATATTTTAAGACTTCATTCACACAGTAACTAGTTTTTTTTTAATGACATTGGCATTATAGCCTTACTAAAAAATTGTACTTTAAGTCTACCCAGTCTGTCTGCATTGCCAATCACTCTAACTAGAATATGTTTCTGTAAACATTATGGCCTAGCACAGTTCCTCCAATCAACTAGCCAATATATAAGCTGGCATACTCTTAATTCTAACTCAGTACAGTTTCAGCAGCATTGTAAATAACTCTGCTCTACTCTCCTCCCTTCTCTTACTGCTTGCTCCACCTTCCTCCTTTCTCTTATTGCTTGCTCCACCTTCCTCCCTTATTGTCTGTTCTACATACTCTTACTGTCTCCTCTACCTTTCTTCCTTCTCTTACTGTCTCCTCTACCTTCCTGTTCTCTTACTGTCCACTTCACCTTCCTCCCTTCTTTTATTTTCTGCTTTACTTCCCTTCTCTTACTTTACTGTCTACTCTGCCTTCCTTCTCTTACAGTCTGCTCTACCTTCTTCCACTTATTCCTGTTCTCCCTCCCTCAGTCCTCTTATTTTCCCTTTCCATCACTTCATTTCTTTCTCTATAATATCCATTTTATATAAACAGCATATGGAAATGCAATGCCATATTTTCCCCATCATTATATTTAGCTCACAACTCTAGTATATGCAGTACTAGACCATCTGATCATGACTGTGGACCTCTACTTGTCTGCTGAGTGTGTGGTATATGTAATCTTTATGCAGTTTCTCACTAGTATGTGACAAGTAAAGTATTGTTTTGTTATTAGCCCTGTGTATTTTATTCTTTAGTTGAATTCTTGTGTTGCAGTTTCTTCCCTACGGTGTTGCAACCACCAATACAAGTTGTCGGGGATTCTGTTTATTCTTGTTTGGTGCGGATAAAAGTGTGCCGAAGACCTGTCCGGAGGTATGATGTTGGCGCCCCCTCCTCCATTGCGATATCACTTCCTGGTATGGACCCCCATGATGCAGAAAGACGGAGGTATGAGGCAGTAATAATCATTAAAGTTTTGCTTAAAATAAGCATATATAATAATACAGTACAGTATTAATGGATCATCAATTTGACAATAACTGTTTATGTATGTACATTATGTATGAATAAATATATATACTGTATGTATGTGTGCATAATTCTGTAGGATAGTTATAAGATGAGAGGTGTGTGTGGGGTGGGGTGGGGGTTGCACATGCACGCAAGTGTGTGTTTGCACACATACATGTTTGTGTCAAATATAATTATACATTTTATCCACAGACAAAAGGCGCTCCGTCTTCTAAGTGCTCGCTTAAACCAAGACAAATCTGGTGAGGGTGGAGGAGCCTGGCCGACACTGGATGACTCCCCTGGGTCAAGGACACAGTCTCCACAGCCATCATCTCATCCCCCTTCGACACACACCACTCCCCTGCCACCTAAATCTGGCAAGTCTGTAACTATTGCTCTACCTCCCGAATCCTCGGAGCTTCCATCTACAAAACCATCTTTGCCAGCTAGTTCGTCCAGCAGTTTACCTAGCAACAACTCCAGCAGTCTACCTAGCAACAACTCCAGCGTAGCAACAGCCACGTTAGTAACTATTGAGAAGGAGTCTTCGGCGGATACATAAAGTGTAAACCACTAACAGTTGTGCTTGGCCTTCATTTTACTAGTTATAAGAGAAGTCAGCCTCTTTCTAATAATTCAGACTATTTGTTTGGTTTATGCTGATTGGTCTGGAATGTTAGCCCGTTTCTGGAAATTCTGTACACGATGAAAGAAAATGGAGGAATTGCGTGCGTCCATGATAGGAACACAGTCGAGAAGTGCTTTGGAATGGAACTGAAGATTGTTGTTGAATATACTATACTTGTGAGCAGCAGGCTGTATATTAAAATAAGGGCAACTGACATACTGTAATTATTGTCCTATATATATATATATATATATATATATATATATATATATATATATGTGTGTGTATTTACTGTATATATAGGAACACTTTGGCCTTGTACAGTAGTATTGTTTATCATAATACAATATACTGAGGTCTTATCCAGTAAAGCTTTCATTAATGAAAGTCCAATTTAAACGCACAAGAGCCCTGAACATGCTGCAGGTCAAGTCACTGTTGTTGAGAATTCTTGTGATTAAAGACACTTTTAGCCACTCGATAATATTATTATTACAGTAATTGTAAGAGAAAGAGGAAGTATTTCATAATTATTTTTACACCCAGATACACATAATATTTAACTATTTCAGCTTGTATATAAAGGTGGTGTTTGCCTAACCTGTAACAGATTCAAACTCTGAATAGTAACGTGACTAATTTTCTCTATTATATCTCGCATCATGTCTGGAAATTTGAATTATTTTCTCCATTATATTTTATCTAAAATTTTGTTCTCTACCTTACACCTGTTTAATTTTGTCCTAATTGCAAAAAAACATTTTGGTTACATCTTGTTTCTGACCATTTTAGTATTAAATATCATGCACTGCCTGGACTTAACATGTACTGTATTTGGAAGGGTCGTAAGAATCAGTTTTTAACACACAACATTTCATAAAGTTTTGCTCATTGCCAAACAATTCATTCCAGTTGAGGAGCCTGTTGTAGTCTAGTGTATCATCCACACTTAAGTCTATTTAATCCTAGCTAAACAAAACTGGCTTAACTAAACCCATCCCAATCTAGTCCAGCTTAACCTTTTCTCTTCAAATGTTCCCCAGATTATATATATATATATATATATATATATATATATATATATATATATATATATATATATATATATATATATATATATATATATATATATATATATATATATATATGTCGTACCTAGTAGCCAGAACTCACTTCTCAGCCTACTATTCAAGGCCCGATTTGCCTAATAAGCCAAGTTTTCCTGAATTAATTTATTTACTATAATTTTTTTCTTATGAAATGATAAAGCTACCCTTTTCACTATGTATGAGGATAATTTTTTTTTATTGGAGTTAAAATTAACGTAGATATATGACCGAACCTAACCAACCCTACCTAACCTAACCTAACCTATATATATAGGTAAGGTTAGGTTAGGTAGCCAAAAAAAGCTAGGTTAGGTTAGGTTAGGTAGGTTAGGTAGACGAAAAAAACATTAATTCATGAAAACTTGGCTTATTAGGCAAATCGGGCCTTGCATAGTAGGCTGAGAAGTGAGTTCTGGCTACTAGGTACGACATATATATATATATATATATATATATATATATATATATATATATATATATATATATATATATATATATATATATATAATATATGTGTGTGTGTGTACACAAATTATTCATTTATTTTTTAATTAAAATTCATGATGCTTCAAATACTTCTCATATTCATCCTCAGATCTAAAAACACAAAACCGTAATTGAAATTAACCAGCAAAACAAAGAATTCATACTGAATAGAATTACTGTAACTTGAGAGAGATCAATTGACACCAGTTACAAATAAGAACAAAACACACAGTTCAACTTGCATAAACTGATCAATCACTCTGATCAATCAGTAAAAGTTGATAATCTTCAACAATGATACCCAAAGCTAATTCAAAATTTAATTATAACTACAAACATTCAAAGAACATATACAAAGACAATCCATTTAAAGTAACATGTAGGTTATCAGTTGAACACCTTGCAAGAGACTTAAATATTACACAATATTGAACACCAAAAGTTATACTACATGTCTTAAACGAAACTATGAAACAAGTCCTCAAAGCGAGTATCAAAGACACAAAGCGGGGGGAAACTAAAATATATACTTTATGTATGTATGTGTGTGTGTATATATATATATATATATATATATATATATATATATATATATATATATATATATATATATATATATATATATATATATATATATATATATAATATATACGCACACACATACATATACAGTATATATATATATACAGGTATATACACACACACACACACACACACACACAGAATACAGCTGAACTATTATTATTTAGCAAAGGCCACAGCTCTCCAGTATATTCAACCACTTGGGCTGGACAGTAGAGTGACGGCCTTGCGTCATGCAGGTCAGCATTCAATCCTTGATCGTCCAAGTGGGTGGGCATCATTCCTTGCCTCCATCCCATCCCAATTCCTTATCCTGATGCCTTCAAAATGCCATATAGTATAGTCGAATTGACTTGGCGCTTTCTCCTGGTGGTTCCCTTCCGTTCCCGGATATATTATAAATATTACATTATTCTCAAATTCATCTGGCCATTCGTACACGTGTCTAAGATTTTAAAATCGGAATCATTTAAAGAATGATTCATCTCATTTCAATGATTTCTTGTTTTCTGAAAATGGTGGCTTAAGTAGTGGTAAGCCAGGGCATCAATATTGATTAAACAATTTTACTTTGATCAGGTTAAAAAGAACAAAACGGTTTGAAATGTGTGTTTTGTTCTTTTTTGTAACTAGTGTCACTTGATATCTCTTATCTCATAGTACTGTATGTAATTCTGTCAAGTATAAATTCTTTGTTTTGCTAGTAAAATTTTAATTTAACTTTTGTATTTTTAGAACTGATGAATACGAGAAGTATTCGAAACTCAAAACATCAAGAATTGTAATTAAGAAGTAAAGAAGAATTTTAACAAGATGTTTGTCATGTCAGTTGTTTTGTTTATATATATATATATATATATATATATATATATATATATATATATATATATATATATATATATATATATATATATATATATATATACACACACAGTATATATATATATATATATATATAAAAAATTAGTGTTCTATTATATGACGTGCAATGGCATACTAATCAATGAAAATAATAACCCACTTTTTTTTTAAAAACAAGAGAAAATGTAAACTGTATACAGTATTTCAATCCCAACCCAGGATCCTCTTCAGCAGTTAGCGAGAATAATGGCTGTTGCTGCTTTTATGGTGTCAAGTCAGGTGTCCTGGCGAGTGGTGTAAACATTGGATAATAAACTCCTTGTTACATAATCACTCGCCAAACCACTGCCCTGAGGAGATATTAAAATTTGGATTATTGTTTATAAAAGTAGATGATATTATTTTTCTTTTGAAGCCACAGTGTTGAGGATAAATTATACAAGAATTATCCCTTCTAATTTTGTGATTGGTCTCGCTTATATGTTTATACCCAGCCACTTTGACTGGACGGTTGAGCGACGGTCTTGCTTCTTGCAAGTCATCGTTCAAATCTCAATGGTCCAAGTGGTTGGGCACCATTCCTTCCCTCCGTCTCATCCTAAATCATTATTCTGATCCCTTCCAAGTGCTATAAAGTTGTAATGGCTTGTCACTTTCCCCTGATAATTAAAAATAATTTAAAATTACATGTTTATATAAAGGTGAGCTTTCTTGGCCATATCTAACAGACCCCTTGTGTTTGGTGATGCTGGTTTCTAGATATACCTGCCCTTTTGGCTATAATAAACTTTGTTACCATCATTACAAGGAATCTTATAGATTCCGGCACCCTCAGCTTTATCTTTCTTCTGATAGATGTTTACTAATTCATTACAGACTTTATTTAGGTAAGTGAAAATTAATTTTATTTTTATTCTATCCATTTTGCTTAAGTTCTTAGCGGTGTGCTCTACATTATAAATATATGGAATGACCAAACTATTCTTAGTAGTGATCTCCTGCTGCATAGTGGAGTCAGTCTGGTAGTAATTTGCTTTAGCAAGCTTCACCCAGGAACCAATTAGCGTATCCTACTTCATTGAGTTGACTGTATATTTCATTGATTTCATTGTCCAACCTTTGCAGACTACAGATTCGCAGTGCTCTTAAGAAAAGACCCGATGCAACACTACTTATTTATTTTCTTCGCACAATTGCTGAAGTAATGGAGATAGTTGCCTGTATGCGTGTCTTTCCTGTACACAGTGAAGCCCAGTGAGGTGTTACTCCTTATTACTAGGACATCTAGGAAGGGTAATTTATCATCCAACTACCATTCAACTTCAAATTTGATACTGGGGACTAGAGCATTCAGCTTCTCAAAGAGCTCAGAGAAAGGCTCCAGCTATCCTTCCAACATTTACATTGAGAAATAAACTCAATGGGAAAAACTGTTTTGAAATGAAAATACACTATGGCTTCAAAAGAAAAATAATAGAATCTACTTTTATAAACAATAATCCAAATTTTGTAGGATAGGATTAAAACCCACATTATTTGTAAAATTTATGTAAGGAGTTTACACCAAGTCTTTCGCACTCTCCTGAGTGCTTTATCAAAGTCAGTGTGTGTGATTAGAACAAGACTTACATCTCAATGTTTAATCCAAATTTTAATATTGCATTAGAGCAGTGGTTACTTGAATTGGTGAGCGATTATGTAATAAGGAGGTTATTACCCAATGCTTTCACCACTCTACAGGACACCTGACTTGACACCATAAAAGCAGCTGCAGTCATTATTCTTTCTCACTTGTGATGAGGATTTCGGATTGGGATCTAGATATACAGCCTACATTTCCTCACGTTTTCAAAATCCTGAGTTATTATTTTCATATACTGTACTGTCTAAAGTCACTTATTCGAATTATATGGGAAGGACCACCTGCCAGATAAGTCAGACATCCTGATAACCAGAATTCTTACAGGGGAAGTTAAAAAATGATCATATTTGCAATTTTGGTACCACATCCACCATAATTCTTATTTCCACACACTATAAATCAAAAATAGAATTTAAAAAGAGAAACTTCTGCTTGGTGTAGTTTGTCCTCTTTGTGTGGTACTGTAGATCTTGAAATGTGTTGTTCCTGAAAATTTAAGTAACCTAATCTCTGGTTATCTGAATTCTGTTAGAATAGGGGTGAAGTTTGGCAGGAAATTATCCGAATCTGATTTTGGCCTGATAAGCCAAATGTTCAGTTTAGCGGGCTTCGGATAACCGAGCTCAAATTATGTGTGTGTATATATATATATATATGTGTATGTGTATATATATATATATATATATATATATATATATATATATATATATATATATATATATATATATATATATATATATATATATATATATATATATATATATATAAACTGTTATTCTGTGTATATAAAATGAGAATGGATTTTCAAGTTTGTTGAAGCATACTCAGAGGAATGAATGCGTTATTTCTTGTAATAGACCGAGCCTTGTCAATGTGTATGGAGCGGCAACAATTCACTTTCACATTCTTTTTTGTTCCCTTCCATCTTCCACCCCCCCCTCCTGCGTGCTCTCTCTCATATATATATATATACTGTGTATATATATATATATATATATATATATATATATATATATATATATATATATATATATATATATATATA